CACCACCTTCCTCCTCCATCTTCTCCACCCATCCACCATAGCCAGCCACCTCACACCGTCTTCCTCCTCCATCTTCTTCACCCATCCACCATGGCCAACCACCTCACACGATCTTCCTCCTCCATCTGCTTCACCCATCCACCATAACCGACCACCTCACACCATCCTCCATCATCTTCAACCATCCTCCATAGTCAACCACCTCACACAATCTTCCTCCTCCATCTTCTTCGACCCTCTACCATAGCCAACCACCTCACACCATCGTCCTCCTCCATCTTCTTCAACCATCCACTATAGCCAACCACCTCACACCATCTTACTCTTCCATCTTCTTCACCCATCCACCATAGCCGACCACCTCACACCATCTTCCTCCATCATCTTCAACCATCCACCATAGCCAACCACCTCACACCATCTTCTTCACCTATCCACCATAGCCGACTACCTCACGCCATCTTCCTCCTTCGTCATCTTCAACCATCCTCCATAGCCAACCACCTCACACCATTTTCCTCCTCCATCTTCTTCATCGATCCACCATAGCCAACCACCTCACACCATCTTCCTCCTCCATCTTCTTTACCCATCCACCATAGCCGAACACCTCATGCCATCTTCCTCCTTCATTATCTTCAACCATCCACCATAGCCAACCACCTCACACCATCTTCTTCCTCCATCTTCTTCACCCATCCACCATAGCCGACTACGTCACACCATCTTCCTCCTTCGTCATCTGCAACCATCCACCTTCAGCCATCCTCCATAGTCAACCACCTCACACCATCTTCCTCATCCATGTTCTTCACCCATCCACCATAGCCAACCACCTCACACCATCTTCCTCCTCCATCTTCTTCACCCATCCACCATAACCAACCACCTTACACCATCTTCCTCCTCCATCTTCGTCAACCATCCTTCATAGCCAACCACCTCGCACCCTCTTCCTCCTCCATCTCCTTCACCCATCTACCGTAGCCAACCAGCACACATCATCTTCCTCCGCCATCTCCACCACCCATCCATCATAGCCAGCCACCTCACACCGTCTTCCTCCTCCATCTTCTTCACCCATCCGCCATAGCCAACCACCTCGCGCCATCTTCCTCCTTTATCATCTTAAACCATCCTCCATATCCAAACGCCTCACACCCCCTTCCCCCTTCAACTCATTCACCAACCAAAGGCCATGACCAAAGGGGAGCAAAGAAGCAAGTCATAGAAAAGAGGACCTTAGGTAGGACGGTGGGACAAGTATAGGATAAGTTGATTAGGAGTTGGAACCCTCTCTCTCTCTCTCTCTCTCTCTCTCTCTCTCTCTCTCTCTCTCTCTCTCTCTCTCTCTCTCTCTCTCACACACACACACTTCCTCCTCCCCTATCCTCTTTCTCCCCCTCTCTCTTGCCTCCTCTTCTTCTTCCTTCACCGCCGCCTCCCTCTCCCCGTCGTCATCCCTCTCTCACACTCTAAAAGCCTTGACTTTACCTCCTCCCCCTCTCCCTTCTTGGTGTATAACTAATCGTCCCCCACTCACGTGTTACATTGCCAGGGAACGAACGGTGAAAGGAATTTGTCCTCACTTGGTGGAGAAAGTGGGCGAGGGAAGGGCTGTTGGTCCCTTGTGCCGCCAGGAAGGAAAGGAAAAAGGGGGCATTTGAGAAATTGGAAGGAGGCAAGTCCGGAAGAGGGACTAGAAAGAGTTGGTACTTAAAGCAAGGTCGATTGACTCAACCATTACCCCGACTGCATGACTAAGGGAAGAGATTGACCTGGACTGAGGAAGGAAAAGGAAAGCACAAAGAGCTAAGGAAAAGTGAACTTAGGCTTGTGGGAGGGATTATGTGTTGACCCCATGTGGGGGATGCTTTGCATAAATTGTGTTGGATGTGCAGGTAAATAGCCTAAAGAGTTATTGAGCGGGAATGGGTCCCGGGTATGCCAGGCGGCAAAGAGAAAGTGGGACTGAGGTCAAACGGGTTGTGGACTTAACCCTTGCCCTTGAATAAGTTTTTAAGCATGTTTGTGCAAAGCGAAATCGGCTATTGCAAATTGCAAGACATAAGGCAGCCAAGACGACCGCCTCGATTAAAACAAAGACTTTGCACGTATATATGGGATGGGGCCCCGAAAAGACTAAGGGGTGTAAAGGATAAATGCATAGGCTGGACAAAAGAAAGACATGCATGATGTATGCGATAACGGAAGTCACGAGTAGGATGGCCAAAGAGGGAAGCAGGCCAAGCCCTAGGGAGGCATAGGGGGACCGCGAGACATTGTCCGCGGGCTCGAGCCGAAGGGCGACCGCACGCTCAACAAGGTTTTGAAGACTCCTGCTTAGTGAATGCATGCGTGGCCCAAGGATGACGCTTGGCCTATCCATAAAAGAAGAAAGATTTTCAATAACCCCCCTGGACTGCTTGAGTATTAGAAGGAGCAATTGCATGATAACACCTCAAAGCGTCAAGAAAAATCGCGATTGACGAAAAGTTTTTGCGAGTCTACCATCCAGCGCGAGGGCGGAGCTACATCCCCAATGTCAAAACTCTCTCGCAAAATGACCCATCCCCGTCCATCTCAAAGCACTAGGTGGGGGTGCCCCTGTGACGAACGCTCCGCGCCCGGAGCAGAGCCAACTGGGACCCGCAGTGGGGTCGACTTAGGCTCGAAAGTCTAACAGGGTATGACCCTACACCGTCCATAGAGGGTGGGTCTTGCGATCATTGCGCGGGAAAATCATCATGTTCCGCTGGCGTGAAAAGAGTCAATTTGGAGCAATGAAAGACCGGGTAGACGGGCAAGTGGGCGGACAAGTGAATGACGAATGGAGGTCCTTCGAGTGCATCCCCAACAGGTGTCACGATCGGCCAGGGCCCCATCCATTTCGGGAAGAACTTGCGAGATATATCTTGTTCGAGGCTGAATTCCGTGATGGAGACCCATACGAGGTCACTAGAGTGGAATGGATAAGTCGCGTGCCTTGACAAGTAGCTCTTGCATCTGACGTAAGAAAATAAAATTGGTGTCGCTCTCGGTCGCCCGTGGGATGCTTGTGTCCAACGGAAAGGCGACCGGCAAACCGTGCTCAAACTCAAAGGGCGACATCTCGATAGCCGTGAATGGATGAGTTGTATGCCAACTCAACATCCGACAACCGCTCAACCCAATTCTTTTGGTCGAGACGAATGAGAGTGCGAAGGAGAGCATATGCGGTCTGATGCGCCCTCTCCGTTTGGCCATCGGTTTAGGGGTGGCGAACCAACCTCGGCTTGAGAGATGAGCCCCATCGTTTGATGAACGCCAACCAAAAAACGGACATGAACCTTGTGTCGAGGTCGCAGACGATTTCCTAAGGGTAACCCTTGGTACGAATCCAACAGGCGTAAAGAACCTCGGTCAACTCCGGTGGCTTGGCATGGTAGCGGCAAGTCAGAAACATGGCGAACTTGGTGAGTCAGTCAACCACCTTGAGAATCCCATCCACACTGGTCTTGTGCTTGGGGAACGACCCGGTGATGTCCATGGCAATCGCTTCCCTGCGGCGCAAGGGGACCGGTAATGGTCGCAACTCGCCATACGAATGTTGATTGCGAGATTTGCAGCGTCGATAAACCTCGCATGACTCGTAATAGCGTGTGACGTAGCCGAGAAGGCAAGGCCATGAAAATCACTCGCGAACTCGGCCAATTGTTTGATTGACCCCAAAGTGTCCGATGGCGGAAGCATCGTGAAACTCGCCAAGAAGCCGCGTACGCAAGTGGGGATCACTTGGCTTGCAAAGAAGGTCCTTCCCCCGTGTGTGGACAAGCAAGTATCCCTCTTGGAACAGGTAGTGCGATAGCGCCGGATTAGGGGAGGAACAATTTGCGTACTTGTCACGAAATTCGGGGTCGGCTTGATAGCCGCAGATGAAGCTGTCGCGCAGGTCGTCATCAATCTCAAAGGTCGAATAGACTACGGTGCAATGATCCGGACGCCTTGAAAGAGCATCCGCAAAACGGTTTGACTTCCCCGCGATGTGATCGGGAAAGAAGTCGAACTGGTCGATGAAAGTCATCCAATGGGCGATGGTGTTGTTGACCGTGTCGTGGGTCTTGTAAAAGACCAACAGATTGTTGTCCGTTACGCATCGGAATTGACTTCGACCAAGGAGAAAGTGCCGCCACTGGTTGAGTGCGTGGACGAAGGCTAGTAGTTCCTTCTTTCGTGCATCATCCATTGAGTGCACGACGGGCACCTTCTCGCTGAAATACTCGATCGGGTGTCAGTCCACGCCATCATGTTGCTCGAAGACAGCACCAATGCCATAGCTGGACGCATCGGTAGTGACTTGTGTCGACAATAGCGGGTCGTAGATGCACAAGACCTCCGCGGATAGTAACGTGATTTTGAGGGTAAAAAATGAGCCCCGCGCATCCTCGTCGAAGTCGAACGATCGATTCTCGCATTGAAGCTTTGTCAAGTCGGCCTCGATCTTCGATTAACCTTTGACGAAACGCTGGTAGTGGCCGGCAAGGCCAAGAAACGAACAGACATCAGCGATGTTCAACAACTTCGGCCACTCTAGGATGGCTTGAATCTTGTCCGACAACAGACAGATGCCCTCCGGTGTGACAAAATGGCCCCAATATTCTAGCACTTGCCGGACAAATTGGCACTTATCGCGGTTGGCCTTGTACTTGGCGTGGGGGAGCGTCTCCAACACGTGTCAAAGGTGCTCAAGATGATCCTCCAAGGTCCGACTATAGACGAGAATGTCGTCTAAGTAGTCTAGCACGAACTGGTCCAACATCGCACGAAACTCGTTGGTCATCCCCGGTTGAAAGGCCGCCGGGGAATTGGTGAGGCCAAAAGGCATAACCACCCACTCAAAATGCCCGTACCACGTCTTGAACGCAGATTTATAGCGATCATTTGGGCATATCGAAATCTGGTGATATCCCGATTTCAAATACAACTTGGAAATCGCTCAAGAAGATCGTCAATACAAGGACGTGGGCCCGCATTCTTGACGGTTTGTGCGTTGAGCTTGCAGTAGTCGATGCACAATCGTAGATCCTTGTTCTTCTTCCGTACGAAGAGAATTGGCGCTCCATACGGTGAGCTACTAGGGCAGATCCAGCCCTTGTCCAACAAGTCGTCGAGTTGTGCGCGGAGGACCGTGAGCTCCTCCTCGTTCATGCGATAGATGCAACCTTTCGGCGGCACGACACCGGGCTCAAGAATGATCTCGTAGGAGATCGGCCGGTCCGGCACCACACCGGTAGGTGACTCAAAGATGTCAACGAACTCGTCAAGCAACCGCACCACAGGGGGGTATGAAGACAAGTCCGTGGATGAAGAGTCGGCTACCGCGACGGTTCGTAGGAAACATAGGCCTATCTCGTCGGACTCCTCGTAAGCACAAGTAGCCCGGAACGACTTGGCCGTCACAACTTGGCACCGAATCGAAGGGTGCGGAAGAGGAAAGGTACACAACACTTCGGCGCCGAAGGCATTGCAGACGGTAAGAGTCCGTTGATGGAAGTTGACCGTGTGATCCGCACTTGCAAGCCAAGGCATCCCCAAACTAATATCGAAGCCCATGTCCAAGATGTCCAACGTCACCGGTTCGCATGCATGAGGTGCGAAATATACCGGTACAGCCTCGATGTAACGGTCGATAAGTTGTTGCGCCTTGATCGCCGTCGGGTTTGCCTTCCTCCGAACTTGTGCGCCGAGGCCAGTCCTTTGCATAAAGGCTTGGCTCATGAAATTGCGAGTCTCGTCGCTATCCAGCAAAGCGCTACAGGACGCTTGCCCGACTTGGATAAGCACGTAGAGGAGCGGTGCGTTGTTGTCATCGTACCGCTGCATGCAAAACTCGCGGGCCACCTTTGTAATATACACAAGGATGTCCCCCACCGCAGCTTCGTCATCCGTTGGCGAAGTTAGTGGTGCATAGAAGGATAAGTACGTGTGGAGATGAGCGCAAAGAGTTGCGCATTGCGGTCCTGACAAGCGGCCCGTGGTCGGGAGAGGAAGCCATGGGAAATCCTCAGACGTGAGCGGGTCCACTTGCACGCCGAATCCCGTGAAGAACCACTTGAAGATGATAAGTCACCGCTTCCAGACGAAGAAAGTGCCGCACACGCGTCTTGTCCTTGAGCATGAGTACCTAGCGTAGGAACGAGCCGGGCAGCATAGTCCTCACAAGAATATAAAATGGGAGGGCTAGCAACTTCCACATGTGCCTTGGAACGAAGCGCGGTCGCACGCGTAGCAACCGATTCTGAAGGCGTCAACTCACTTTCGATGGTGCTTACTTTCCCAATTGTTTGCCCTTAGCTTTCAAAGGACAACCCACTGTTTTGTGGAGGTCACTATTGCACCACAAACAGTACCGGAATCTCGTGCGTATCTTGTATGCGCTCTCCAGGTGGCCATAGTGGGTCCATGGGTCTTGAGCTGTTGCACCGGGCCCGGGGTTTAACGTGATGTTGGTCTTCGATTTGCCGCGTCCGCGGCCTTTGCCGGGGCGGCCACCATCTCGGGCGGCTGCGAGTCTGTCCCCCTCATTGGCAGACGTGGCCTTAAGGGATCGATCGGCGTTGTCGCCACGACCACGACCACTTTCGGTCAATGCTGTTCTCTGCTCGGGCCTGCCGTAGGCGAACGTGAAGGTTCTTGGCCTTCGTGTTCATGATGATGATCTGCGTGGCCTTTTCAAAGAGCTCCGCAGTTGCAGTGAGAGTCTCTGCGGCTTGAGTCAATGAATTGTGTAACGCCGGACATGACCTTGAGATGAAGTAGTGTTTGATAGCCATAAAGCCCATTGGTACGTCTGGCGTTGACGCCAAGCGTTGGAACTCGACAATCCAATCTCCGCTCGACAAGGTGTTCTGGTGGAACTTCAGCAACTTGTCCATTGCTTAGAGTTCCGACGGCTCTATTTGGAACCGCTTGAGCCACACCGCCTTCAAATCCTCCTAGCTGAGCTTGTAGTTCGAAGACTGCTACCCCATACGTGGACAGAATGTTGTCCAACCAAGCTTGGCATGCGCCCCCCGATCGAGAGTACAAGTGTGCGTGTCGCTTGTGTGCGTTGGTCTGGTGGATGTCAAGCTTGCTTTTGAACTGGCGGAACCATGGAATTGGGTCCGTCTTCGTGGCGTTGCGGAAGACTTCTTGGCCCTCGAACTTCGGAATAGACTCGCGTGTTGACGTGCTAGGGCCAGCAGCGGCAGCGCAGATCCACTGCTCGAGTTGTTGAGTAGCCGCTTGCTGTGCTCGTGCGCCGTCCGTGAGCATTCCGACGTTGATATCCAAGGCGTCGAGGCGATCGGCAATGTTGGAGGAGCTGGCGACGGGGGCAGCGAGGGGTCGTTGCTCCAACTGCTTTAGGCAACTGTTGACTTGCTTGACATCGTTGTCGAGGGAATGGATGTCCTCCTGTTGTGCAATGCACGTCGCCAGGAGGTCTGTGAGGTGGGAGAGCAACAGCGATATCTTGAGTCCGCTGTTGCTGAATGCGCCACCCTCGGCCTCGGTCTGCCATTCCGCTGCCATAGTGAGTAAGGCTCTCTCCTCCCCGAATACCTTTCGCGTCGCATGTTGCGTTTTTCATCAGCAGCCTTTGCTGCTGCCTCGTCGTGCTGGCGATGTTGTTCCGCCGCCAGCAGACGTGCTTTCTCCGCATCCTCCACCTTCTTCTTCTCTACCTCATCCGACCGTTGCTTAGCTTCGGTAATCAAAACCAGCATCCGGGCCTGATAGGCCTCGACCATTTCCCCTGGCTTCTGGTCCATGATGGCTATTTGAGAGCACGTGAGCATAGACCAGGCTGGGTGACTGCTAATGTGCCACTCTCTGCTGTTGACGTGGTGTTGTTCGGCTGCTGACATGGCACGACTGTCGGCTGACGTGTTGCTGACATGCCACTGCTGACGTAGCCCGTTGATGTGGCCTGCTGACGTGGCAACTCACCAATGCCGCAGTAGGGAGTACCCGAAGATAGATGAGAAGGGAAGAAAGGAGGGTGCAACAGCATAGGTGGGGGTGGGTGGGATTGATCGCCCAGATAAGGAGCCACTAATCAAAAAGAGAAAAGTGCAAGGAAATGAGCGATTGCGAATTCCAGAAACCAAGCAGCATCATACACATGAAACCAGATAGTCGTGACCTCGAACCAAAAGCAGAATTGCAACTCGAGTTCCACCAAATAAGAGCACAGCAAAAGCTCACAACTGACAATGTTGGAATAGTCTCATCATCATCAACAAAGAACCAATGTCGAGTTCCTATCTGGCGCTCAGCGCCCAGACTACGAATGGCAGATCCTATCTAGCCTATCTACAATGCCGTTGCTGACGTCAACAGCTCCCCGAAGTACGAGCAGATCTCGGCCAATGTCGTTCGCCAGGTATGTCTCTCGCATCACTCACAACCTCGATCCCCCACTCACAGATGCCACATGCACCCAAGGACCACCATGCGCCCCATCCAGCATAGCGCAGTGCAGCTCGGCTATGGCTGCCTGCTCTTCCTGCTCGCCCGTGAGCGCGTGGGCGCTGGCCAGCAAATAGAGCAGCATACAGCCAGTGCCCGAATCCCAAATGCGTGGGCAGGCACTTTCCTAAATGGAAGTCACCTGCCTGCTGCATGCGACCTGGCTGTGCTGGGTCCCTGCCCAGAAGCTTCCGGTAGACCCTGAGAGCCTTAGCCCCAGTCTGAACGAATCAGGCCCAGGGCCTGTGGTGGTTGCCCGTGTCCAACTGCCTACATCTTGTGTTCGGTCCATGTTCCGTATCTGGCCCAGGGCCTGCCTTAGTTACGTACAAAAAAGGCAGTCAGGGCCTGGACGCTCTCAACCAACTGGCGCTGCGCAACTGCCTGAATTTTCCCCAGTTGCGTGGTAGCCAAAACTAGGCCTCTGGCCTTGGTTGGGCCTGCCTTCACTTAGGGCAGGCCCAGGGCCTGTGGTGGTTGCCCGTGTCCAACTGCCTACAGCGTGTGTTCGGTCCATGTTGCGTATCTGGCCCAGGGCCTGCCTTAGTTACATACGAAAAAGGCGGCCAGGGCCTGGACGCTCTCAACCAACTGGCGCTGCGCAACTGCCTGAATTTTCCCCAGTTGTGTGGTAGCCAAAACTAGGCCTATGGGCCTTGGTCGGGCCTGCCTTCACTTAGGGCAGCCATCATTGTTGCAAACACGGCCCAGTAGGGCTTACCGAGGCCTTGCGCCTCGCAAAAGCTTGAACTTTGCAAAAAAAATCGAGAAATTAATAATTAATGAAAATTTTCGACTTTGCAAGTTCAGTAGAACTCCCAATTCCCCCTCAAATTCGAAATAATTAATAATAATAAAAAAACCTCGAATTTTCAGACTGCAAATGATAAACAATAATAATAATGAATAATTAATTAATGGAACTACAAAAGAAGAGAAAAGTTTTCCGCAAGTTATGGGAATTCCGAAAAATGAAAAAAATTGGAATTCATCAGATGAGAGTGTGCACAGTGAAAATAATGAACTGCAAAGAGAGGTTTTCCGTAAAAATAATTTCAAAATCTCAGAACAACGGAAAACAAGGAATTTCGAACTTTCCGTTACCGTTAAAAAATGCATGAAATTGTTGAAATAAAAAAATCAACGCAAATAGATTCAAAGAAAATTTTCGAAATCCTCAAAATAACGGAAAATAGTGAAAAGAAAATGTAATTCGTAATTTCCGCTATTACTTGGGTGCGTGAATCCGAAAAAAACAAAAAAGAACCGAATTAAGTTCAATTAACGAGAAAATTTTGAAGTAACTGAGAAAAAAAAAAAATCAAAATTTTCGGAAAAACAAAAATCGAACTTCAGCTACTTGGGTAATTCAGACAAATCAACGGATCTACGCAATATTTCGACAGAGAAAAAAATATTTCGGATTATCTTCAACACGAAATTGCGCAATTAAAAAAAAAAAACGACAATCGACAATTTCAAATGCTGCGCTATTTCGGAAGTTGTGAGTTTTCAACCAACAAATGTGCGCTAAAGAAGGAAAATCCGAAAGAACGGGGAAAAAAAATTCGATTCTCGGCAGTTACGTCAAAATTCGTAATTTTGGGGACTAATTCGTATGACGGTACTATAACCTAATCAATCAATCAATCAATCAGTCAGTCAATCAATGACCAATCAATCAATCAATCAATCTGTTACGATCCTGGCCAATTTCGAAGTATACATTCATCTGAAAGTACAATGCCATCCAATTGCAAAAAAAAAAGAATGAACTTGAGAGGAAAGAGAGGGAAAGAAGAAGAAGAAGAAGTGAGAAGGAAAAAGATGATGGTGTACTCCAGCATAGACCAATGTCAAGGCTCTTCTTCTTCGCCAACCAATCCCTTCCCCCTTATCTCCTCCCCTCTTATTCAAACAAGAAATAACAATAATAATGTTGAATGACTGAACCAGAATCAATGTCCGAATCCCACTTCTACTGCAGGCACAACATGAGGTCCACCATAGCCATGGCCACCCTTCTTCTTCCTCTACATACAGGCCGAGGCTATGGCGGACTACTGAGGCTTCAGCCTCCCGTCCAAAGGACAACCCAAAGCAGTTGTGTCGCTGCCCCACTTCAAGGTCATCCCCATGCAGCTATGCCGCTGCCCACTCAGCCACCATGCCTGACTCTGTCCCGAGTTTCCTTGATGCAACACTACCCCAACGGGGGCCTTCCTGATGCAGCGCCTAGCAAGGAGATGAAGATGGTGTCTACCATAGCCAGGTAAGTGCCTCGCCACTCTCCTCCTTGGTCCCCTTCTCCCTCCTCCTCCTACCGGTAGAGCTCCACCATAGCCAAGGTGGAAGCCCCCGGCTTCTTCCTCCTAGCAGCGCTGTAGTACCCAGCGCCACTCCAGCCAGCGCTYCAGCAGCGTGTCGCCAAACTTGCACACTGAAGAATGAGGCTGGGCTCTCCGCCCGGCCTCTTGATATAGCGGCCTACTTGCCTCCTAGGCGGTGACTTCCAGGCCGCTCGGCCTCTCCAAGCAACCGGTACGTCCTCCGTTTCGGAGGGAAACATCATTGCAGACCCTGATACTACCCGTACAGGCTCTAGACTCAGACTGGTTGGACTGGTACCGGCCTAGACCTACCCTACCGCTATTGGACTCTAAAAATGCCAACTTTGTCTTTTTCTGCTCGGCCTCCAGTACCCCCTCACGCCAACTGCGGTAGGGTGCAGTATCGGCCTACCGGCCCACTTGAGTGTTTTTCCGCTACCCCAAGGGCCGCGGGGCCGCTAGCTTCGCCACTTGAGTGTTTTTCCCTGCGACAATCCTCGATGCCACGGCCACAGGTAAGTACCGGCCCTACGGCCTGCCAAACAAGCAAGTACCCTTGCGGGTCACACACACACTCATACCGACAAGCATTCAGACAGGCACGCAGGTCACAAGCACGCACACACAGACAAACTTAGAAAACACAGCAGAATGCCGGAATCTCAGCAAGGCATCCATTCCATCGGCAAAACTTCAGAAATCAGCAGTGTTCTCAGTCTGTGTTTTGACGGGTCATTACACTACCCCCCCCTCAAGAGCAAGGTCCCTTCGAGCGAGTAACTCAATCAGAGTCCTTGCACAATGCATCGTAGGCGTAGATAGCAAAGATAGATCGGGTGTGTTCCGTAGGAGTCAGGGTAGCAGTGAATTTTGGTTGCTGTTCAGAACTTATCAATCGTTCGTAGGCGTTAACGACGCGCGGTGCACTCTGCAGTAAGTCCTTCTTAGCAATCCAGTAGAAATCATCCAACGGGTGGTACAAAAAATGGACTTTGTACTGTTTGTTTCTTCCCTTCCCACTGTGCTCGACAATCCTATCAATCTCGTGACCGCCATTGATTGCGCGAGGAATCATCGATTCTCGATACTTGAAAGTTTCGGGTGATTCATACGGAAACAACTTCGATGCGTGAAAGACTGGATATGTGCGCAGATGAGCAAGCACATCGATCGTATACGAAGGGCCAAAGGAATCACTCCCTACCTGGTTCAACACCTTCCACGGACCATAGTATTGAGGAAGAAGCTTTCGTGATACACCTTCTTCTTTAGAAAACTCAGACATTTTGACCGAGACATAACTTCCCACTGTGAAAGGTGCACGCTGACGCTTTTTGTTAGCATGTTTAATCATGGCACTGCGTCGCCTTTCCATAGTTGCGACAACAACTTTGAGCAGGCGACCAAACTTAGCGCTGTAGCCTGGCTGGCTAGGTGTTAGGCCAGGTGGCTGTTCAGGGAACAAATAAGATAGAGGATTGCGGATTTTCCATCCAAGATGCAGCCGGTTAGGTGTCATCCTGGTGGAGGAGTGGATGGAGTTGTTGTACAACCCCTGCACAATCGGCAACTCCTCATCCCAAGAGTTCTGATCAGGTACAATTAAAGCCCTGAGAAGTTAGATCACGGTCTGATTGATCTCCTCGGCCAGTCCATTGGCTTCGGGATGTCGACCAGACGTCATCTTGAGTTTCATGTCGTAGGTCTGGGAGGTGAAATCTTTTCAATCTGCACTTATGAACCTGGTATCCCGATCACTCACAAGAGTCTTCGGGGGGCCATAATGCAGAATGTATCTCTTGTTAAACTCATTGATCACAAGGTCAGTTGGGGCGTGAGGTGGCAAGGGGATCAAGTTCAGAAATTTCGAGAAACGATCAACGATCACCATTACTTGTGAATAACCGTTTCTGCTCTTCTTCCCCATGTCTGTGAAGTCAATGGAAACAGACTAACCCGAGCCATCAGGGATAGGAAGAGGGTGCGGCAGCCCATAGGGCTTCTGCCGAGACGGTTTGATGCATTGACAAACTTCAAACTTAACCACAAACCTTTGTGCCATTCTTTTCATTCCAGGCCACACAAACTTTTCCAACAGATTCTCGTATGTCTTCTCAACACCGAAGTGTCCACTCCGGCCGTGAGCCAAATCCAAGAAGTGGGTCATGATCGACTCATGGTTGGGCACACACAATCGGTCATGCTTCCCGTAGCGTCGGAAGAGAAGGCCCTTACACTCATGGAAATCAGGCTGACTGCTAGGGTCAGCCCGAATTTGCTCAAGGATGGGACTGAGTTCCGGATCCTTGGCAATATGCTCGATGAGTTCCTCCTTCAAATTTTTACGCAGGTCATAGGAACCCACAAGGCAAGTCATGTACTCAGGGTGGCGAGACAAAGCATCCGCAACACGATTGTAACAACCCTTATTGTGTCTAAGTTCGAAATCATACACAGCAATCTCATGCAGCCAGCGGGTCAGTGTAGTTGAGGGATTGTTCTGTGTCTGAATCAATTTCAAGGTCTCGTGATCCGAGAACACTTTGAAATGGCAACCCAACAGATAATGCTTCCAATGGTCTAGTGCTTSCCTSARRGCRTAKAGCTCTCGCATGTAAGTGGAGGCAGCTACCTTGTGACTGGGCATACGTTTGCTGTAAAATTCTAGCGGACGTAAGCCGTCGCCGTCATCTTGTTGCAGCACTGCACCAATCCCATACAAACTCGCATCCGTAGTTACCACAAATGCAAGCTTGGGATTTGCAATGCGGAGCACCGGATGACTCACCAAAGCCTCTTTCAATGCTTCAAAGGCTGTCGTGCATTCTTCATTCCATGTGTAGGACACATTCTTACTGGTCAATCTAGACAGCGAACGGGTATGATAGAAAATTTAGGCACAAACTTACGGTAGTATGATGCAAGACCAAGAAAAGAACGCAATTCGCGGACATTCGCCGGTTGAGGCCATTTTTGGATGACCTCAACTTTGGTTGCCTCGGGCTCTAGGCCTGCAGCAGACAACCGATGTCCAAGGTAGATGACGTTGTCCCTCCCAAACTCAGATTTCTCCAAGTTGAGATGGAGTTGCGCGTCCTTGAGGATCTGCATCACTTCCTCAAGGTATCTCATGTGCTCCTCCATCGACTTGCTGAAGATTAGTATGTCATCCAGATATACAACAACAAATCGGTTGATCTGATTGTGAAATACCTTATCCATGAGACTTTGAAAGGTGGCTGGCGCATTTGTGAGACCGAAGGGCATGACTGTAAACTCGTACAGCCCATCGCGAGTTTTGAATGCAGTTTTATGCTGGTCGGCAGGATCGACTTCAATCTGGTGGTAGCCAGACTTGAGATCGATCTTGCTGAAGACCTTGCATCCACCTGCAACATCAAGCAAATCATCGATACGTGGCAAAGGATATGCATTCTTTCTTGTTATTCGATTCAATCCGTGGTAATCAATACACATCCGCAATTTGCCTCCTTTCTTGGGGACAAACGGAACCAGTGCACCAAACTCAGACTCACTCGGTTTGATCCATCCCTTCCCAATCATATCATCAATCTGCCTTCGCAACTCCTCCAATTCGCCTGAGCCCATCCGATAGACAAAACCTTTTGGAGGAGTGCTACCTTCAATCAACTCGATCTTGTGTCAGACCGGACGCATGGGAACTCCATGCGGTTTGGCCAAGACTTCAGGAAATCGGTTGAGAAGGTTGCGAATTTCCAGCGGAACTTCCGGAGGGGGATCATCACTCTCAGGAGCAAGCATATCGGATATCATAGGTGCAGCCAACACAACCGGATTAGAAATAGAGTCATTTGGACTAGAGTTGGATTTAGTAGAGGTAGAAGTAGTTGCATCAGAAGTAGAAACAGCATGCAAAGTATAATCATTATATACAGCAAAAATAGAAGGCACATGAGCAGGCCTAACAAAGGCTATATACATTTGCTCATCAACTTTGCGCCTGCGCCACTTTTTGCAGAATTGCATTGCATTGAGAAAAGTTACTTGGGACTCGCGCGGCTCATCCAAAAGGACTGGACGCTCGATTCCCATGGCATCTTTGACCATGAATTGTGAGTCCTTCCACGTGGTTCTTTCACATTGGGCCTGCAACCAGCCCAAGCCAATAATCGCGTTGAAGGGGCAGTGATCAAGGACATAGAAGTTCAACTCATGCGTGATCGTGCGGTCAGCGTCAAAGGTAGTGCGCACACCTTTGACTGCGTGCGTAGATGTGACAACCTCTTGGTTGCCCACTTGGGTCCGACAAGGATTCTGCAAGGTCACTTGCTTCATCCCCAAGCGTGCCTTACGAATGCCGTGCGGTGAGAAGTAGTTGGCGGTTGCACCATAATCAGCCAACGCACGGATGTAACGACCATTAATGTAGAGTTTGAAGAAGATCAACTTCGTCCTCCCTTGCGCGCATTCCTGCTTCATATGAGTCGAGCGCGTCAACAGAGCATGGAAGTCAATTTCTTCCGACTCTACCCAAGGCTCCTTGTATAGGATGTGTATCTTCTCAGCCTTGGAATCAGCATCAGATGGGGTTTCAAGAGAGGTTTGCTGAGTGGGATCAGAATCCAGAGAAGGATTTGTACTTACATGTCCAGGCTCTCCATCTGTAGAGTGTGCTGATGATGTCTCTACCCCCGTTGCTGTTTTCCCTGCTGCAATCTGAAACATTGTTGGACTGAGTGTCCCGGTTTGGTGCAATGCAGGCAAACCCTTTTCTTCACCTTGTGTTTCCACTCACTTTCACTAATCTGGAGATCTACCCATGGTTTGGTGGCAGGATCTTCCGGTTTGGGTGGAATTTTTGCTCCCTTGGGAAGAAGAATGCTGTTAGTATTGTTCTTCATTGTGGTCCTCGGTCCCTTACTTTTAAAGGCAGTCTTTTTGAAGGCATTCATAGATTCATCGTCGTTCACATACTCAGACTCATGGACTGACAAAGAGCAAGATGCCCCATAGTCTTGCTCTTGATCATCATCAAGAGAAGATTCCTCCACGAGGGTCTCCTCGTCAGCCTCAAGCAGATCGTGTGCTGCAAAACGGTTGCTGTCTGGAAACCGTTTGCGGCCGGTGGTCTTTTTGCCACTTGATCCACCCGGGAGGTCTTGTGCCTCCAGCTTGACTAAGTCCCGCATGAGGGTAAGCCAATCTGTATATGCGCTGAGTCCGAGCCCTAGGCGATCTTTTATAGTAGAGGGAACCGTACCTTTTATCACATCTAGACAGGACTGCGCAGTCATCTCCAAATCCGGAGTAGCAAAGAGTTTACTAACATACTGCTGCAGGTTGTGGATGGTGCCGGTCCACTTGCTGTGCTTGAGCTTGTCAAGCTTGAGTCTAGCCTAGCTGCAACATGTGGATCAGCATACTGTTTGATCAAGAGCTCTTCGAGTGTGGCTACCGGCGTAGCCTTCAGCCATTTGTTCAGGTCTATCCTTTTATAGCCTGCTTGTACAGCTTGGATTTCCAAGAATCCTCTCACAACGGGTTCCACATTGGTCCCTAGGACCGACGACTGAGTAACTGGGAGTGTCCCCAGCACATCGAAGTAGGATCGCATGGAGCTGATCCAAGATTTGATGTCGTCCTTTCCGTCATACTTATACGGAATCTGGGCCGTCTTTCTATCCATATAGGAAAAGCTGCAGCTTGGACCAACGGCTGATGGGTCCGAACTCGGGACTGCAACAGTTCCAGAATGCCCTGCACTACTACTTGTTGCTGCAGCAGCAGCAGCGGGGTCTGAACCTGCTGCAGATCCGGATAGGTCGTTAGTCACACTCAAAGAAGAAGAAGAAGTAGAAGAAGACACATTCAGAGAGGCAAGAACGGACTGACACGCAGCACTAGAAGCAGGGTAAGCAGGCGGAAGGATACTTTGGGTTGGCTGCACATTAGCGAACTGTTGCAGTTGGTCACGGTGCTGCTGCGCCATCGGGGCCATGTCGTCCCGCAACTTTTTGAGTTCGTCGAATACTTTGGCGAGTTGGCCGGTATGGTCCTCAACAGCCCGAATGTCTACCAAAGCCCGGAGGAGTGGAACCGTTTTCTCTCCCACCTCCTCATCGGTTAGGGCAGGCAAGGTACAAAAAATGGCTTCATGAGCCTTTACCTTCTCCTCCCTCTCCTTCTCTTTCTCTTCCTCCTCCCTCTTCAATGCTTTCTCATAGAAGAATCGGTACTGCGCTTTCTCTGCCTCAGGGGCAGCGTCCATTTGCAGCTTCCAATCTGCTGCAGATGCCATGATGGTGGACGAGGGAGTCAATAAGTCTCTCAAGAGGGGTCCGTACTTTCTTACTTGCCTGGGACGAACACTCCTCTTCCCTCTCCTCACTCTCTCAAGAGCAACACTCAGAAGCTTCTCTCTTCTCTCTCTCTCTCTCGTTTGCGACCGTGTAGACGCAGGCATTAATGAACCCAATGTAAGAAACAACTTGAAATCAGTCAGAAGAGAAGGTAGAGCTCCTAGCCGGAGCGACAATTCATTTGGACTGGAGAGCAGTCAACCAAAACAAAAAAAGAAGATCARAGAGATCTGATCCAGCCACACAGTCTGGACCGACTACGTATGGGGTCCTCCCAAGCCTAGCCGGACTCAGCTCCGTGAAGACACAGCAAATCAGATTCAAAGTGTACAGCGTAATGCAAGAGAGAATTGAGTGGTGCCCAAGGTGCGGGTCAGGCGGCGGATCGTGTGGTAAAGTCTGATAAAACGTCCCAGCGGACATCCCCTCCGCAGCGAGTGTCCTGGTCCGAAAGCATAAAGTTTGAGTCCCAATCAGATAGAGCAAGGTGACTGACATCAACAGATTTGGCCTAAGGGGCCCTTCTTGTTTGGGCCTGGTCCCACTGAGTCCCGAATGGTCCCAGTGGAGTCAGAACCGGGTCCCAGCCAACAAGAGTTCCACAAAGACCTACTCTGTCCCTACCGAATTGAAAAACGAAATTTTGCCCCAGAAAGAACCTGTAAACTACAACCGTTCAGAATGAAATAAACAAAGCACTGTAGAGAGATATCACATGGCAAACAAGATACTCCATTCATTCACTCGTCAAGTAAGTAGGCAGTTCACACACCTCACACACAATCAAGACTATGGAGGATGAAAAAAGAACCCAAAGAACCCCAACAGGCAGTCAATTCCATGCACACACACATGGGCACCCTGGTGGCACGACACTTACCTGAGTGGCCGGGCTCTTGAGATGAAAAGAACTCACCCCCCTCTCACATAGTCCTCCTGACCCAATTAGCAACCTCTACATTAGTGTCCTATCATCTAGGAGGGTCAACATCTACCCCAAAGTACAAAGTTGGATCCTCCGTCAATGTTGAAGATCAAAGCAGCAACTTGCAGTCCGTAGGTGCAGATATGACTGCCACCCTCAAGCTCGCCTGACTTGAGGGGAACCCTAAAGTCACTCCTCGTCTTCCTTGAAGTCCAGATTCAAGTTGTAGGTGCCCTTCACTGTCGCCTCTCTCAAATTGCATCACGAAGTCCCACCTTGTGTCTCGCAACCACAAACATGCACTCAAGCAACCTGGCCGGGTCTAGTGTCGACCCTACATAGCCCTGCCATGTGGGAGCAACTTCCCTTCACCACTGCCCCACTTAACCCTAACTTCCAGCCCTAACCCGAAGTGGTTAGCCCTTACCACTAGGGTTATGCATGGGCTCAACATCACTAGAACACTAGAACTGACAAACATTGAAGTAGCGATTTACACCCAAGTGAAGAAAGAGGCAAAATATGAAGAGAAAGTGAGTAAAACTCACTTTTGAGCACACACACACAAAAGGAGTAGCGGTTTACTCTAGAGTGAAAAAATGAACAATGCATGAGCTCAACATCACTAGAACACCAGAACAGACAAAGATTGAAGTAGCGATTTATGCTCTAGTGAGAAAAAACGCAAAACATGGAAAGAAAGTAAGTAAAACTCACTTTTGAGCACACACACACAAAAGGAAAAGTAGCGATTTACTCTAGAGTGAAAAAATAGACAATGCATGAGCTCAACATCACTAGAACACTAGAACAGACAAAGATTGAAGTAGCGATTTACACCCAAGTAAAGAAAGAGGCAAAACATAGAGAGAAAGTGAGTAAAACTCTCTTTTGAGCACACACACACACAAAAGGAGAAACAACGATATATTCTAGAGTGAAGAAATGAACAATGGGGAGTCCATTACTAGTGGAGAAAGCCTTTACTAGCTATTCTAATCTTTGGAATACATCTATGAAGAGAGAGAAGATAAGAGAATGTGTAGCTGTTGAAACAAGGGAGGATGAGAGAAGAGGAAGAGGAGGAAAAATAAGAAGAAGGAGGGGAAGAAGAGGGAGAAGAAGAAGGAGAAGAAAAAGGAAAAGAGGAAGAAGAAGAAGAAGAAGAAGAAGAAGAAGGAGGAAGGAACTCCTCCTTTTCACCACTCACCTCCTCTTTGGTCTTGGAGTTGATGTACCAGTCTTGGAGATGCTCTTCCTCACTTGGCTATGACTTCCTTYTTCCTCAAGCTCTTCTCACTCCCCCTTCTCAGTCCCCCTCGAGTTGCAAACAAGCTCCTATCACTATGGCTATGGAGTCCTCCCCTCTAGGAGGGCCAGTGAGACTCTCTCTAGCCTTGCCTTCTCCCTCACAGCCTGGGGGCTATGGCGGACCACTCTCCTAGGCCAGCCTCACTACCACTAGCCTCTAGAGTTCCTCACACTACCTCACAGTCTCCTCTAAGCTCTCATACGGGCAGGGGTTCCCCTCTTCTCACTCCAAGTGAGTGTGGTGCTCTTTTGGGCTCATCTCAGCAGCATGGGCACTCCTCATGCAAATGTGAGTGTGGCGGACTGAATCCTCAGCTTATGTAGGCTGAAACCAGCACTTCGGCCAGCCCATGGGCCTCCCTATGTGCCTTGAGGTGAACCGAGGTACCCCCAAGGCAAAATTTCACCACTAGGCCCTTCCGGAGTTTCCCGGGCCCTATTTTGGCCAAGTACATGCAGTCCGAGTGCTTGGTACCAACTCGGATTGCCTCTTGGCTTCCTTCAGCCTCCTTTTCATTCTCAAAATGTTGCCCCCTTGGGTCCCAATGCCCAAGGGGCAGCCTTACTTGAAAGAAAAAAACCCTCCTCGACTTTTTTAGTTTCTACCCCATTTTTGGTAGGTCGAGGTATTTTTCCATGCCTCGGTACCTTTTCAGCCTTGGATCTGGCTGAGATCCAAGRCCACCAATATTTCGTGTCACCCCCAAGKAGCCCTTGCTTCAATTTTGAACCCCTAAGCTCCCTTTTTCAATTTTTGGTGCATCTGATCCTCTTTTTGGGCCAAATGCACAGTTTTGTCTTCTTCTCTATTTTGTTTCTTTCCATTTTGGGCTGCCAACTGATTCCGGAGTCGGCCGTTTGGGTAGGCCTCATTAAAAACGACCATATTCCCTCCTGGCTCAAAAGAAAACCGGTCATTTTCTTTTTGCATTTTCTCTCATTTTTTTCTTTTTTAATTCAGATTTTGTGGAGATATTGTCCCAAGGGCCATATCTCCGCATTCTGGATTGCCCTCCTTGAATCTTGGAGGGATGAGGTCACCGTAGGGACCTGCCAGGTCCTAATAGGCCGGCACATTCTCCTCCACTCTTTTCTCCCTTTTTTTCTCATTCTCCTTCCATTTTCTCACATTTTTATTTTATTTTATTTTATTTCTGATATGACAAGTGTCAAGTAGCTGTTGAGTCTTTTTTCTAGGCTATGGATTCTCATCCATGGCCAGATTTAGACTCAGCAGTTGGCCATTATATCTCGGACTACAATAATGGCACCCCCATGCTCATAAGATGCTTCATTTTGCCTCCGTTAGTCCCAATTTTGAGCCCCTTTTGCTCCGATTTTCTTTGGACAACCTTTTTGCCACGTTGAGTCAATTGAGGCTCTATTTTCTTCATGCCTAGCTAGTCCGAGATATCTCGGACTGCTGGGCATCCCTCCCAACACCATTATTTTGTTTTCTTTTCTCTTATGGCTCTCGCACTTAATCCCACTTGTGATTGCACTAATGGTTCTAATATTTTCCACCGTCTAGATCCTTGATCTCGACGGTGTCGTTTGCTTTGCGTGACCATTTTCTTATGTTGGCTCATGGTTCCCTTGGAACATCTCAAGTCCCCGCCACTTTCCTCCGTATTAGTTCCGTTTTCTTGTCCCGCCAGTAGTCCCGCCGGCACATATCCCATTTTTCAACAATTTTTGAGCGAGGAGTAGTAGGAGGAGTGGGGGAATTAGACGCACGAGCGGCGCGGGGCATCCCGCAAGGGGGAGAGCCAGGTGGCGTTGCGGTCGTGCAAAGGGGAAGGAGAAGCGGGGCACCGGAAAAAGTTGAGATTGCGGCAGAGGGCTGTGGTCCCGTGGCCGTAGTGACCGGAGTCTGGGCGAGGGCGCTCATAGAGTGAGGAGAGGTCTGGCTCGTGGCGAGCGTGAACGGTCATAAGGATTGTCGGGTCGAGGGCAGCGGAGGAGGAAGCTCCGCCGTGGCCGCCACGTCGGAGGACAGGGGACCCGGGCTCGGAGCCAGGAGAAGAGAGAGGGTTAGGAGAGGAAGAACAGGCAGAGTCATGGAGTTGCCACATGCCAGCGGCAAGAGTCGCCACCTGCGCCTGTAAGGGCGCAAGGGTGGGCAGTTGCGTGTGGATGGGCGCGAGGAAGGAGGTGAGAAGGGTGCGCAGATCCCCTTGGGGCTGATGACCCTGGTCCGCCAGCACGGGTGTGGAGCCCGGNGGAACTCCTCCTTTTCACCACTCACCTCCTCTTTGGTCTTGGAGTTGATGTACCAGTCTTGGAGATGCTCTTCCTCACTTGGCTATGACTTCCTTCTTCCTCAAGCTCTTCTCACTCCCCCTTCTCAGTCCCCCTCGAGTTGCAAACAAGCTCCTATCACTATGGCTATGGAGTCCTCCCCTCTAGGAGGGCCAGTGAGACTCTCTCTAGCCTTGCCTTCTCCCTCACAGCCTGGGGGCTATGGCGGACCACTCTCCTAGGCCAGCCTCACTACCACTAGCCTCTAGAGTTCCTCACACTACCTCACAGTCTCCTCTAAGCTCTCATACGGGCAGGGGTTCCCCTCTTCTCACTCCAAGTGAGTGTGGTGCTCTTTTGGGCTCATCTCAGCAGCATGGGCACTCCTCATGCAAATGTGAGTGTGGCGGACTGAATCCTCAGCTTATGTAGGCTGAAACCAGCACTTC